GCCATGGCCTTTCCTAATGAGTGTTGCTGGGAAACACGGAACCCTTAAGGAAAAAAAAAAGCATGTTTTCATAGGGAAAATGTCCCCAGCTGTTAGAATTAATGGAATTTTAGAAATGCCACAAGTTCAGATTACAAAATATTTGTAGGTTTTCTCAGGAAAAAAAAAAATGTGACCTATTCTTTTGGGATCCAAGTTCATTTAGAATCAACTGTGATCAGAAACATCAAATTAAAAGGCAGGTATAACCTCAAATATACTCCAGGGTTGCTGGATGTTCTAAGAATTGTAATAAAATTTGCTAATTGTAATATATTTAATTTTGCCATTTTGAAAATTGCTGAGTCTTGGTAAAACTATTTGAAATATTTACTTTTAAAGAGCTATATAAAATAAGGAAGGCTGGAATGAATAAGCACAGGCATGGTTGAATCTACGCCTCAAGATAGAACTATTTCTAAGTTACAGTAAACAATAATATGTAACATTTGGACATGTGTCATAAATCATTGTTTTGTGTCACATATGGATTTATTTCAACCATTAATACTGAAAATAAAAGCAAAAAGAAATAGATTTTTTTCTACTTTTGTGACAAGCAAAATTTTATGACATATGTTCAAACTTGACAAGACTTAGAAGTAAAGGTTAGTTGAAAATTCCATATACTATTAGGTATTTTATGTTTAATACTAGAATAACAATAAGACATCTAGTGTTTTGTGAAAAGATGGAGGTCTAATTTATAGGTATAGACCCTTTGTCTGTGAGGTCATCAGCACTTCCAGTCTAGGTCAGCTTGATTTTCTTTCAGTGTATTTTTTTAAATTTATTTATTTTGTGTATATAAGTATATTGTAGCTGTCTTCAGAAACACCAGAAGAGGGCATCAGATCCCATTACAGATGGTTGTTAGCCACCATGTGGTTGCTGGGAATTGAACTCAGGACCTCTGGAAAAGCAGCCAGTGCTCTTAACCACTGAGCCATCTCTCTAGCCCCTTTCAGTGTATTTTTAATTTCCTATGAAAATATAATTTTTATTACAAAATGAACATATTATAAAATACAAAACCACCCATTTCTTTTTCTTAATTCATCACATGGGGTTTCGAAATAAAATAACTTATCAGATTCTCATTGTGATTTTGCCTGTTCAATCTTACTCATCTTATTACATTTTTTTCTAGATAGGTTTAATTTGTGGCATCTTTAAACGTTACTTAGTAGGAAAGATAAGCATACGTGAAAGCAAGTGAGTGAAAAAGCAAGTAAAGAACAGTTTTACTCTTATTCCTAAGTGTCCATTTGATTTTATTAATATTGATTCTCTGCTAACATGAATGGCTTTCTCACACACTTATTAGTACAAGGGAAAAGACATGTTACTTTCAGTTGTTCTATTAAAAAACCCTCATTATTTATTGACAATTTCTCATTTTTTTAACCAACCTACTATAAATATTCCAACAGTTGATATTTAAATATAGCAGTGTGTCTCAGACTTTACACGCAGTACTTTATAAATCCTCCTGTTGGTTTACACTAAAGGGTGAGTACCTGGGACTCAGTTGACTAGAAAGCCTTAAGAGATATCACAATTCTGATACTCTATTGAATAAACAATGTGATTAGTTGTTAATTGTAGATATAATTTGTCTTTGTTTTTAAAGTAACTCTCCAAAGGTAGTGAAGAACACTGAAGAGAAGCATTACTTTGCGGTGACATTTTTAAGTTTGTTTTGTTTCAGACAGAGAGATGAGCTGCTCTGTGTACTAGCTTAAGCAGAATCAATGATTTTTTTTTTATGTTAGTACAGATGCACACCAGAAATACAAATTCCCAGTCTCACTTAACTCTCATATTGTGTGTGTGTGTGTGTGTGTGTGTGTGTAATTGGAAATGTTCCAGAAGAATTTCTCTTCTTAAGTTTTCTCCCCAAAATTATGATGGTGGTACAGGAGCTTTTTGCCCAAAGGACCAAATTGTCTTTTGAAACATCTCACCAAAAGGGAGTTGATGACTCAGGACTGAATCATAGTTTCCCCTAAGCATAGTTCACTTCCTAACAGCATGGTGTTATGTTCATAGTAGCTCTGGAAGCCTCAGCATTCTAATCATGTTTGCCTCATGTGTAAATCATGTGGCATTTCATAACTAAAGTCTAGACTAGCTGGCCTGTAGTAGTGTATGCCTTTAATTCAGCATTCAGAAGGCAGAGGAAGGCAGAACTCTGAATTTGAGGCCATCCTGGTTTACAAAGCAAGTTCCAGGATAGCCAGGTCAAAACAAAGCACTGTCTCAAAGAACAAACAACAGACGGACAGACAGAGGGACAGAAAGAAAGGAAGAAAGAAAGAAGGAAGGAAGGAAGGAAGGAAGGAAGGAAGGAAGGAAGGAAGGAAGGAAGG